GCTGTCCCTTTGAAGAAATCTACCTCCTCGCTCTTCGTCGGGTCTGCGCGTACCTCTTTGACCGTTGGTATTCTCATGCTGTCGGCCATCTTGCCAAGGACGATCTTACTCATTGCCCACATCATCATGTTGTCATGTATTTTTGCGGCAGAGTTGGTGATAGACGGTGCAATCGTCCTCAGCAGATGGAACAAACGTGGCACACCAGATAAACGCAGCAGTTGATAGCTGGCTTGAGGGTCGTCAAGCGTTGCTAGGCGGAGTATCAATTCCGCCGGGTCACCACGGGCGATTTTGGAAACGAAATTCCTCTGGAACTCCTCTGTTCCTACTGGGATCCCGACAACTGGCATGCCACCTTCAGCAACTGACAGACCAATTTTCGTCAATTGTTGCTGTTCGTCGTTTGTCAAAGAGGACATGCAAAGACCTTCCGGGAAAAGCACTTTGGATTTCGGGAGACTGAGCTCAATGCCTTTTTGGTGTGTGTGTGTGTGTGTGTGAGAGAGAGAGAGAGAGAGAGAGAGAGAGAGAGAGAGAGAGAGAGAGAGAGAGACCAGTTCAACGACTTGGTGGCTTTGTCGTCAGGTGTTCATGGGCAGGACCTACGCCGGCGCCCGAGAGGACATGTCGGACGTCGTCGGAGCCGCCGCCTCATCTTCTTCCTCCGCAGGAGGCGCCGTCTACGAGGGGGAGGGTTACCACCGTCCCCCGGCCGGGGCACCGCCTTCTGGAGAAGGTGGCGCTCGCAAATACCTTTTCGAAGGAAGTTGCTCAAATATCCTGGACCGAGATGTAGCGTGCGTCCAGTTATTTTCCGCGGGAGATATCCCAAGACGTTTTTTTCGTATCAGTGAAGGCGGGCCGTTTTTGGCGGGTCGTTTTAGTGTGGAACGATCGACAGACTTAAGAAGGCTGCACAGTGGTGCGTGTGCGTGAAATATGTGCCTGTGGGAGGAGACTGTACGCGCAGGCGGGGGGCGACGCAGCGCTTGTTTGGGCCCACCCACGCGCCACGTCGATGTTCGTTGGCCCGTCCTTCCTCGCGACAGCCTCCTGCACGATGCATGTCCCGGAGAACGCGGTTGAAACCCTCTTCTCCTCGTGAAAGAAACTCTGCGCTCCCCTTGTTCACGAACGATTTCGCTTGCACCTGTCTTGCACCATCCGGCCGCAGGTGGGGGCGGCGAGGTGGAGACGGCGGCGGGTGTGAGAGGGGGGGGGGGGCCGGGGCCAAGGAGGAGGACCGGCGAGAGCCCCTTGCAGCGGCTGGTGAGGCTGAGGGAGGAGACGGCCATGCTGGCGGAAGACCTGGAGGAGATGTCGAAGGTATACTGTATCGGGGAGTGAAACGGCCCCACTTTTGCTGTAACAGTAGTACTCGTGGTGGTGGTAAAGGTTGTCCAAGGGAATGACCCGGTTCCAGCTTTGCAGTAGCAGTAGTAGTAGTAGTAGTAGTAGTAGTAGTAGTAGTAGTAATTGTTGTTGTTGTTGTTGCTGTTGTAGTGTGGCGAAATAGCTTCTTCTAGGGTGTGTGTGTTTTGCTTTCATCCCCATCTGTTCGCGGCACCGGTCTACGGCTTTGGGTGTATTGGTATGTTTTGGCGTACCAGCCTTCGTCACATCGAAGTAAAGGACTACCCTTTTTTTTTTTTTGTTCTCCACTTTTGTATTGGGGTGTTTGCCTCTGATTTATACCGCTAGAAGGGTTCAAGCAGGCCGCTTTGAATGTGCTTGCATTCGGCTCGATGTTTGTTCACTTCTAGTTCGTGAGCCCCACATCACTCCGTAAGCA